AAATATATACTAAAGTCATTTATTTTTATAAATGATACCTTTCATTTCAAATATCAATACATTGTTACTATCAGATACAGCGGACAAACTGTTGCCAGGTGGGGGGCAGGGAGCAAAAGATGAAGGGATTAAGAAATACAAATTGACAGTTACAAAATAGCCATGAGGATGTAAAGTATAGCATAGGAAATATGGTCAATAACCTTGCAATAATGTATGGTGTCAGATGGCACTAGACTTATTTGGGCGAGGGAATCACTTCCTAAGTTGTATGTCTAACTACCATGCTGTACATCGGAAACTAATGTAATATTGAATGTCAACTGTAATTGAATTTTTAAATTAAAAAACCAAATAGTTATTCAAGGATTTGAATATTATAATAAAGCTCCAACTAGATTTATTCAGAAAATAAATGGGAGAGTCATTTAAGAGTTTTCTGTTCTCAAAACATCTTGATTATTAAGAAGTGCCAGAACTTTAGCAACAATAGCATTTTTTTGCATCTTGAGAATGAGAAAACATTCTTCTAAAAGACCAAGAACACCTTCTTTTTGACTAGTGCTGGGAAGAAAGCCTCCAAATGATGTTTTTGCTGATCAAGTAACATGAATTAATACTATGATCTAAACTTAAAGGAATAATTCCCAGCAGATGTGGGAGAGAGAGACCAGACTCCTGCCTGCGTTTTATTTAGAAATCAGTCTTTTCTCCAGGTAGAACTCTCTATCCCTAACCCAAAATACCTTTAGAAAAATTACATGATAAATTTGTACATTATAATTCAGGAAATTATAATTATGTTTCTTTCCTTCTTCCCCCCTCCTTTCTCTTTCTCGTTTTTTCTCTGATATTTGCTTGCTTCTTGAGTTGGACATATAACTGAAGAAAAAAGGCTAGCAGAGGGAAAAAGAAATGTGAGCCAGGGTCTTTGAAAATGCCATCAACAGAGAATCTGAAGATACAAAGTAGTCATAAAAACATTGGGTGCAGATGTTGCCAGAACTTAGAACTTGACCAAATTGTATTAAGTAATCACATAAAATGGAACTACGCATGAAAATTGTGATCTTGGACCAGGGTTAAAACCTTTGTGAATTCTTCACTGCCAGCACAATTTTGCACACTGGGGCTCCCTTCGGTGGCTTGGAATCAGCCGTGGGGAGTACTTACACCATGGAAACAGGCAAATGCTGCAAAGCAGGGCTTTTCTATCTGTGTGTGTGTGTGTGAGTGTGCATATATGTGTGTTTTAGGGAGCCAGTTTACCATTACACGGTTGAAAACAGCTCTCCCCAGGGATTAATGAAACTCTTAGCACCTGTGACAGGTATTCTTATGGTTTTGGCGAGGAGGGTTTTGGGGAATAAATTAGTATTCTTTCTATAAGCAGGAGATTTTAATTCCCATCTTAGTAAAATTCAGTGTTTTATTATTTTTCTTGGAATTCAGGTATCTTCAAATCTTTATTAAAATTTCTCTAAAAAAATGGCTCCTGCTTCACTTTTCTTCATTAAAAACTAAATCAAGAAAGGAGATCAAATATTTAGGGGACAGGAAAACCTGCTTTCTAGTAAGCAGAGTGGTGCCACCTAATAAACTGTATAAAGTCACTGGAACAGAGTCAAAGCCATAGAGAAACCAGACCTGTTTTTTTTTTTTTCTTTTTTGTGAATGACAGTGTTAAAGAATGTAACCCCTCTTAACTTCTCTACACCCCGTACATACAAATTGCTTATGCTGATACAACCCTCAGTGGTAACTCACTTCACACCTCCATTTTCTTTCTTGTTATCACCAAGATTAAGCAGCCTGTTTGGGCAATATTCTGCATTTATCTAACCTTCCCCATACAGGCCACGTTGACACAACAGAACAGGTTTATGTACCTCACACGTCAGATCCTATCAAGAAACTTGGTAGTGACAGTTTGATAAGGACATCATAGCTTATTGAACTTGTTCTAAAAACAACAGCAGCAAACCACTCATCTCCTTACACTTTTTAATGACCTTGTTCTGTGATGCCCCCATTTTTAGATGCAGCAGATGCATTACTGTGTGGCCTCAGGGCATACAGGGAGCTGAGGGCATGTGACAGGGGGCGTTTTGATATCACGCCTCCAAAAATTCTAGAGACACCTGCGTTTACCTCCATTACCTGTTAAGCAAAGAGAGGTCTAGGGCTAGTTTTAACTTTCACCTTGCTCACAACGTTGACCAAAGTGTAAAAATGGTTGGTCAGACAATGAGAAAAAAAATATCAGGAGTTGCTTTTCTCCTTGCTCTCCAGAATGCGCGGTATTGTCCCAGGCAATGAACAAGACTGATGACAAATTTTACTGTTTGAGGATAACATCCCTACAGCAAGACACATAGAAGAAAAATAAACCCAAATAAATGTAAAATTAGAAAGAACTAAAAAAGGCTAATTTTCTCACATTTTCCCATTTTTTTGTCTTTGAACTGTTTTTTTTTTTCAGTTATACAGCCCAGACACGTTCCTGTAACACTTGCAAAGACTTTACTATAAGCACATTTAACACCATACAGCGTGGGGCAAAAGTAGGTGTACAGTTGTTCATATGGAAAAATAATACAATAATAAATAATACAAGAATAATCTATTTCACGTACTCATAACTGTAAACTTACTTTTGTTCCACTCTCTATTTAACAGATAATTAATTTAACTACATTCCGAAGCTTTTAAACAAGTATTATTGCTATTATTTAGTTACATTCAAAGTAAATTTCATTATCATGGTGAAATTCTTCTGATAAGATTCTAATCTTTTGAATTTCAAATCTTTCTGATCCTTGTGAATAAACCAGCAAGTAACCAACCTGAGGGTTTAATGTACCTTTCAGCTATCTTTTTAAACCTACAAAGATTCTCCTTCTGGCTGGTGCCCTGGAGGCCTGTGGTTCCCTCTGTTATCGGAACAGTATCATGTCGGTAAAGGTGGGAACTTTCGAGGAAGCCTGCGAGGTTCTTCAGTATAAACAAATCAAGTAATAATACATTTCATAGTTAATGGACAGAGACTTGATGAGTTTGGAAAACAACATTTTGCTTTGTGAATATCTGTAACATAACCGAAATTACAACTTTTTGGTGAGGGCGTAAGATATACTGCTCAATCCTGGCTTATTTTTTGGTGGCTTTGAGTTTGATTGCCCTGCATTTGAACAGGCTGACATTTCCCACTATCCTGTTCCTCTTCTCTTTGAAACCTGCTTCCTGAAGCAAAAATAAAAGGTTCTTGTCAACATTGGGAGTCCTGGCTTCTCAACTCAGGTTCTAGATATGATGATAAAGAAAAAACTATGAAATATTTCAGGCATACCAAAATGGATAGAAAATATTATAATGAGGATTGAGTACTCACCCTTTCCCTTAAGAAATAAAACATTACAAATACGAGCAAAGTTCCTTGTATAGTCCTTCTGCCGCTTCAGAGGTAACCACTATTTCCATACATGTTCTGTACTTTTGCTACATATGTGTACATCCATAAACAATATATAGAGGTATGTTGTGTGTTCTAAATTAAAAAAAAATTTTTTTATCGTTGTTCAGTTAGTTGTCCCCTCTTCCCCCGTTACTCTCCCCTGCTCTGCCCACCCCCACACTACATTCAACCTTCCCCCACCATTGTCCTTGTCCATGGGTCCCCTATACATGTACCTTGACTTGTCCCTTCCTCTTCTTTCTCCTGTTATCCCCTCCCCTCTGGCTACTGTCAGTTTGTTCTTTATTTGCATGTCTCTGGTTCTATTTTGCTCACTTGTTTGTTTTGTTGATTAGGTTCCTGTTATAGGTGAGATCGTAAGGTATTTGTCTTTCACCACCTGGCTTATTCACTTAGCATAAGTGTGTTTTAAATTTTTTTATAGGTGATCCCCTTTTTTCATATTATGTTTAAGATAAGCTAATGCATATAGCTCTGGTTTATTGATCTTCATCACTGCAACGTATTCAATAGTTAGGTATACAACCACTCATTTATTAATTCATTGGTTGGTGCTTCAATGTATATTTAGTACAGGTCTCCTTGAGCAATGTGTGAGAATTTCTTTAGGATACAGACCCAGGATTACAATTTTGAGTCCCAGATATGCACACCTTTAACTTCAGTAGATCCTGCCAATCTCCAGAAATTGAACCCACTCTCTTTAACAAACCCTTGGGGTTCAATGTTTCAGATTCATTTGTTTGGAAGGGGGATGGAGGGGGGGTAGTACAACAAGAACTTGCTTTTCTGTCATGTCCCCATGTGATGTTCCTGCTGCCGTAGTAATGTCTGAGACTGTATTTTAAAAGAGAGAGCTGATGGGACACTATCTAAGAAGATGTGGCTGGTGAGGTTTTTTGAGGTGACTGAAAGTTAGCCTGTGGTATAATTTTAGCATTCAGATTCTAGGAAAACCCCCCTGACTAAATATAGATAATATGTAGTAAATAACCACCATAGGCTAAACTCTCAGTGAGCTGTCCTGCCAGCTGGGACCTCTGCATGTGCTCCAGCTGCTGCTGCTGTGCTGAGAAGGGCAGCGGGGCAGGGCAGGCGGGCGGCCCTGCGTCAGGCCAGGGTGTGCAATGAACTTGGCCGGCATTAGCACGTGTCTTGTCTGCGCCAATGAAACCCAGATGCTAACCTAAGTGCAGGTGTGAATATTCGCTTGAGGGTTCTCGCCATTGAAGGCATGGGACTGTGGAGTCTTCCTCATGTGGCTAGTTTTAGACATTTACTTGCAAAACAAAAACAATCAATCTTTACATTAAAGATTTTTAAGAAAATTCTATTCCAAAGTTAGTGCTGTGGTAACAGAATGCCAGGGAGGTTTTCCTCAAATATTCTTTCTGCAAGAACTTCTTATAAAAAGTCTCAAAAATGAAGCCTTCACATATTTTAGGGTAAAAAAACACAAATAGGCTTGCACAGTCTGAAAATGTTTAGCATGAAAACCGGAAGGAAAGTGCTTTTTATTTCACATTTAGCAATATAAAAGGTCATAAGGAATAAAATTGTATACCAGTAACCAACAGCATTTGTTTAGGTCAGTCCACAATTTACATAACAAGATGACTGGTTTTCAAAACCAGACAACAGGTTCAAAAATACTTCTTTTCATGCCTTTAAGTGATGCTGCTGGGAACAAGGGCTGGTGTAAGGCCATGTATTGCAGGCACACTTTGAACTAGTTCTGGTTATCAGTACTATCATTTCTATCTTCTTTCTTTTTTCTCTCTCATCAGCTTTTTGCTTTCTTCTCTTCTTCTTTTATTCACTGGATTTCGAGGATCATAGATTTCGAATGTGTCTGAGTCTTGCATGCTTGCATCTTTCACTTTTCTGCTTTTATCCTCAAACTGAAGGACATGTGACATCCTAAAGAGAGAGAGAGTTCAGTGATTTTGCTGTGGACACTGAGAATGCAAATTCTATATTACGCTCACCTTGGCATAATGACCTTTAAGGGGACAAACCACCTAGATGGGTTCATTGTTCATTGGTGCTTGTACCACATGGAAACCAACTTCTCAGAAAATAACTTGAATTTGAATGATACATCTGGAGTTTGTTCTCTTGCCTTGTATTTCTAGTTGTGAGTCTCTGCCTCAGTTTTCACTTAAGCTTCCTTCCCTGATGGGAAGGTTAAAAGAGTTCCACACATAAGTGCTCCTTAAACTAAACCAGAGAACATTCTGCCAGCTTGCTTTAAGGAGTGCCCTCTCTCAGCCAGAGTGAGCCAGGTTGCAGAACATACCTCCTGACAAGAAACCAGCTCTATCTGATTTTTGTTTTGTTTTGTTTTGAGTAGTTAAATGGGTCAAGAGTAGGTAGTGGGTTAATTCTTGTTCAAATGGTACTATGACTCCCTTTTCTGTGGAGTTGCTGAGTTAAATATTTTTTCAGACACAAGGAAACTAAGCTTTTGGCACAGCTCCATGGACTAATTTCCTCCCCCTACTGTTGATTACAACAAATCTAACCACCCTACTTTCCTACTTTATCAAATGCTTACTGGTCTTAAGGTATCAACATGTGCTTGACTCACAAGTGGTCATAAGCTGGCTATCCTTAGCAGCAGGGAAATATGTAAGTGATTAGCTCTGTCCCCATTAGGAGGTGTCAGGAATAAATGGGGAAGTCAAAAGACCAGGTTTCAGGGCAGTCAAGTGAATCTGGAAAGAGGAAAGTTCAGTTTTTATATATAAACAAAACCACTAAAGTGTCCCCACTAGTTACTTAAGCAAGTTTTAAAGCAGGAATACACAGCACTGTCCTTTATCAGAGCAGATAGGGTAAACTGCCTATAGGATTAACACTCCACACACACCAGTTATAACTTTCAGATGAAACCCAAATATTACAGTAGTTTCTTCTCCCGGCAGTAGCACAAACGCTGAGCAGTTTCCTTATGTGACAAACTCCCAAGGAGATACTCAGGTTTTAAAGAATCCTAAATAGATTTTGGGAGGGAAATAAAATGTTACAATATTAGTGATACTACAGTTATTAAGGGTTCAGTAGCTGCAGTTCATCAGGTTGACTTTTACTACCATTCCCAACCCTTTCCGCCCCAGACAAAGCTTACTGGAAGGCAGTGAGTATGAGTAATATTATTATTCGGATGTCCTAGAGTTTAATTTACTAAAAGAGGTGAATCACATTCACATTTCTACAATTTATTATTAAAAATACATTATTTGCATCAAATTCATAACTGCTCTCCATAATATATGAAGATACAATCTCATATGAGAACTCTTGACTTTTTATACTTCCTGTCACTTTAGAAAACGTCTTTATTTAGAAAATGTATCATAGGATCATTGCTTATTTAGGTGGATTCCTCAGAGTCTGATTTTCTTGTGCATTCAATTTCCTACAGTGTTTAAGTACTAGTTTCTGAGAATAAGACAATCTCCGACTCCTAGAAAAAGGCTGGTTGTTCTATAGCCAAAACAAGTGACCATTAGAACCAATATGAAACAATCATGCTGGACTTAATCAATTAATGATGACTCGCCCAGGCCTCAATGATCAGTGATAACTCACTTCAGTAAATACACCTCTGAAAGCCAACTAATCAGTGACAGCCTTTTGCTTTTGAAAGCTGGCCAGTCAGTGGCAGGCTCACTCCAGTGAACATGCTTCTGAAAGCCGGCCAATCACCGACAGTCTCTCCTGAATAATGATCTTCTGAGGCTGATGTCCCCCCTGAAATAATCCCTAACCCCAAAATCTATATAAAGATCTGCAACCTGCTTCACTCAGAAAGACTGTGTCTAAAAGCATAGCTCTTCCGTACTTCACTAAGTACCAAATTCAGCCTTTTGTCTCAGGTATTAAGAGATGGTCTCCTCCTTGGACACTTTGTACAACCTGTGTTACATTCCCCACAAAGTGCACTTTTTAGAAATTGTATGTGTATTGCCGCTGTTGAGGACCAAGTCTGGAAGAACGGGGAGCCTGGCCTGCTCCAGGTCCTGCGGCACACATCGCCCAGCCCCGCACCGCGCTGCAGTGCATGCCCAGCGACTTTCCGAACTGCTGTGCAGGCGCCTCGGCCTCACCGGGAAGGGGCTGGAATCATATGCCCTTTAAAATATTTTATTCAATACTCCTCTGTTGACGTCAAAAACAAACCCCACTATCTCTTAGTTAACTGGTAATACCTGCCCATATATGCGTTCTTCTATTTTAAAAAATTACCCCTTTTTCGGCTCCCAAATACAGGAGGGTTTTGTGTAATATCCATTTCCAGTAGGGACTGTCCATGTTTAAAATGACTTTACCAGAATTTGTCAATTAAAATCATAGAAAGGCACCTTTCTTCTTTCTATGCCAGGAGAGAATCATGCAACTATTGGATTGAGTTGGTTCTGATATAAGAAATGACACCTAGACGCATGAACCACAGCACAAAGCCCCAAGAAAGAAATAGATTTGCTGATAAATTTGAAAAAAACAGAAAGCTGTAAATTAAAGTAGCTGTCTTTTTCAACTGTTTGTTTCATACACCACTGCACTAAACAAGTCCAACATTTTGATTAATAACAAACCTAAGCCCAGAGGAAAGAAGGGGCTATCAGCTTACAAACTACTTCAGCTTTAATATCATAATACTTAGTATGGCTGGTTACTCAGCAATAATATTTAATCTTTAATAGAAATAAAAGCATAATCAAAAATGTTTTACCCATTTATCTTTCAACATGCTTCAATCACTTCATTTTCAAAAGCAAACAAAACAGTTATTATGATTTTCAGCATAATAAACTCCTGACCTGTGGGCCTCCGTAAATCACAGACTGCATGAATTGAAAGCATGCCCGCATTTTACAGTCTCCTGTGAGACTGACTACACATGCAGACTTATACTATAGACTTAATTCGAGTGCATAAGGGTCTGGCAGTTTACAATCTTGTATGTACCAATAACTCAATACTATCCACTCTGTGGCTGGTCATAGAATTGGCCCAAAAAGAGCGGTGGATTTTTTGGAATTCAGTACATGACGATCATTTACATATGAAAATTTTAGAACTTGTTCACTTGAAAGCAAATATGAAAATTTAGTTCTTATTAATAAAAAATTTTACATAAACTCAGATTCTTAATTAAGAGCACTAACTTTAGTGTGTTATGGAAATATGGAGGATTACCATTTTCATAAAGGTTGTGTTTGACAGGTAAGTTTTTTTGTTGTTGTTATGAGACTGTGTGAGATTACAAACAAAAGTAAACAACAGATTCTTTGGACGGGACCTGGACCTTGACTAACCTCACTGCTTTGACAACCGGTTTATAAAGTTTTCACACAGTTGTGAAATAAATTAAGATATGACAGCAATTAAGATTAATGGGAAATGCAACAGAAGTAGTCAATCTTAGACTCATGGTAAGAAACTCAAAATAGAATCCCAATATGAATAATTTACTTCTGACTGAAATGCATCAAATTATTTGTGCTTATATAATAAAAACAGATATCCCTTCCATTGGGAATTCTATAAACATTTCTTCCCATTTCCAAGTCTCCCTAATTTAGGAATTTAGCACTCAACCTTACATTGGTGTGGATGTCCTAACTGAGCGCATCTGTACTATTTCTCCTTCTTATGATCCTTCAAAGGCTCTAAAATAACTTTCTTACACATTTCTTTGAAAGCGTTCCTCTGAGCAGGAACTATCAGCTATTGCATTGGACTGAAATACCTCAGCCTGACCCTTAAAACCCTCTAACAATGGGATCTTCCTCTCTCACCAACCTCATTTCGTTTCTTTCATCAACTCTCACCATTCTGTAATTGCCTGTTTACTTAATTGTGAACAGACTGTCAGTTATTCGAGACAGTTTGAGTCTTGCTCACAGCTGTATTCCCAGTGCCAAGAATGGTGATTTGTGTTGTGAATCAAAGCCTTCGGGCCCTTTGTGCAGGCCAGGCCTGCCGGCTGATATTAGCTGGTTTACTAAACCAACACTTGACCCTGCTTTTTTTGGGCAGGGGCTGTCATTTATTTCTATGATGAACTTCTAAAATGCCTAACAGACTTGTCAGAAAGTCTCATGCTTATTAGCACAAGTCCACCTTTCCACGGCCTCTCTCAGCTCAGCACGCTCTTATTGCTGCTTTCCCGCCACACTCCTATCGTGAGGGCCAGTTTTATTCCCCAGAGAGTGCAGCGGGAGCAGGTCTCACATTCGTTTCCATTTCCTAGGGCACCTAATGTAGAACTAAGTAGGGTGTTTTTTAAAGCAGTGTTTCTTGAAGTCCAACTTTAGAGCTCTGTATCAAATGTAAATTCTATGACTCTCAATTCCCTTTAGATACTGTTTAAAATATAAATGGCAATTTGGTTTAATTTTTTGGATATTTTCCTATGATTTACAGAATATATTTAAAAACTCAATTGAATGATTCTTTTGTATCTGTATTTTAACTATCAAAATGGAATATTTAGGAAAAAGCTATCACTGATTACAACTAACTTAGGGCTCCCTTTTCACAAATGGGCAAAGCTTCTTCAGGAATTAAGAAGTTAAAGATTTAAAGAAACAGACCTATGAAAAAAGAAGTCTGAATATTTTTTTAGTATAAAGTAGACAGTAGAGATGATATTAATTCACACGAAGAGACAGAGAGACAAAACATGAATGAATCTGGAGATCAAAGTATTTAAAAAAAGGTCTAGTACAGTGCAGTCACTGGCGCTCTTCATGCCCACAGAGCAGCACGGCGCAGGGCAGAGACGGCTGTGAGAAACAGGACAGAAAGGAAGAAAGAAAAAAAAAACCAAGACAAATGGCGAAAATTCAGAAGAGAGACTTAAATTTGACAGCAGTAACAAACTGAAATAAGTAAAGGAAAATAGGACA